TGCCCGGGAGCGGGGGCTAGTCCGTAGCTTCCTCGGGGCTGCTGCTGGTCGCAGGGGTAATACAGGTGATGCTGGGAGTCCTGGGAGCTCGATGGCACCTGCCCGTTGGACTGGGTGGAGACTGGCCCAAGCGTGTGGCTGGAGGAGGGGAGGTGGTCTCCTCCCAGCTGGGGCGATGCAGGGATGGGGCAGTGGTGGACCGGGCAGATTCTTTCCCAGGAAGTGCCACTATAGCTGGGCTCGGTGTTCCCGATCTCTGGCATGGCGAGGCAGGTCTGGCAAGGTCCTGCATTTTGTTTTTCTCTGTGAGAGAAAATAAAGGTGTGGTAAAACAGCAGAGCAGTAGAAAGGCTACGCGGAGGAGACACGTCCTGAAATGGGAGACTCTCCCAGGTGTCCCACATAACACAAGCTGTGAAACCTCACCCACGATTTGCCGTACCAAGAGCCAGGCTCAGGGCTCAGCTGGATTGTGCTTTGTATAAAGACATCCATGACTCAGGGCTTCCAGCTGATGCAGAATCCATCACCTCTTTGTGCATGTTGCTGCAAAATGTTGAAAAATTGAGGAACGTCCCCTCAAACAATTCTCCAAGATATTCACTGCAGGGAGGGGGCAGAACACGCTGGCTGGGGATGATGGCAGGGTCCTCACTCAGGACCACAGAGTGACCACAGAGATCTGGGGAAGCAAAAGCCAAAGGAGGCTGCATGTGAAGAAGACACTCAATTATCTGCGCTTCTTGGGAAGACAAATTTGATTGCTCTGCAGAAGGACTGGCTCTGCTCCACGTTGGGAGAGCAGCAGAGTGAATCATCCCTGGCACTAAAAAAACGGAGCAGTGAACCTGATGGCTGTGACAGTGTAAAAGGGGCTTCAGCCTCCAGCCTGGCTCATGCCCTAATGGCTCCCATGTTCTGCAGACGCTCCACTGGGCTCTTCAGGAACGTTTTAGACCTACATCTCCAAGGGATGACAGCAACAGATACCGTTAGTCTTGGTATGTAGGAAGGGGCTGGATTAGGATCTCTCAGGATCTCTTGCAGCTTGGCTTTACTCTGACTGCTCAGTTTACTGAGACAAAACATTTGCAGACTTCAGTTCCCAAGTAATGAGATCTCTGCAGGATATGCTTTCTTCTCTCCAAGGAATTTAAATAATTATTTGATACCTACAGTTCTTGATTTATGGAACCTGAGAGATTTTGCTAGCTTGGAGAAAGTGTGAATAATACCTTGAGGGACTGGTTAGTCTGTGTGACACAAAAAAACCCCTTCACACACAACAGACTGAGGTCACACTGCCCCCAAAAATGCCTTAGGAATTGCTGTCTCAAGAGATGCAGCTGGTCAAGGTGTCAGGGAGTGTCAGCAGCCCTGTGCAATCTGGAGCTCAAAAAGAAAGCATGATACGGAAACATCAGTAGCCTCTGGTTCTTGTTCAGAGCATGCGCTGTGGTGTGAGAAAAAGAGAAGAAATGGCAAAGAAAGAAAGAGAGAAAGAAATGGCAAAATGATATTAAAATAATATGCAGATACCAGCGTCTGTGTAATTGAGCTGCTTTGCACCCTCGGAAGAGGCCGTACACCCAAAGAGAGCAACGTCAGACAGAATCCGTGAGGCCGTTAACACTTCCTATGACAATGGATATACAAAGTCGCTGGAAAGAAGTCCAAGTGCCAGAAGCAGGTGCCAGAAAACCAGCAGACAGATGTGCGCACACCTCGTTGAGATAAGCTTGACAGGTTGCTCCCAGCAGTTCCAGCGCTTGGTTGTCTGCTTTACAACCCAAAGGACTAGGACGACTTGAGCTAGTTCAGCACAGCGAGGGCGAGTGCTGCTGGCCAAAGCAGGAGCTCCCGGGCAGACCGTGCCAATGATAACCCATTCACCCACAGAATTTGTCAGAAGAAATAGTGATCAACTACGTTGCATGAACTCCTTGTCCCGTCCTGGAGGATTAGTGGATCACCCAGACTTTCAAGCACGTGATTTGTGCTATAGCTCTCTATAAAGGTAGATTACAGCAGAAGACTGCAAATTTGTCATCGGTGTATGTGAATGCAATGCATGAGATTATAAACCAGATGCCAGCAGAGCTGTTCATGAGATTTAATCTGAGGTCTGGTCTGGACTCGTTACAGCCTCATCAGAGTCATCCCTGCACGGGGCGCGATTCAGGTTCGGTGGTACTGCAGGCGCACTGCAGACAGATGAAAGAAAGATTGCACTCTGTGGTCGTCAACACATAAAATGACATATTTAATTAGTCATTGCCCATCTATACTAATTATAGAACCAACCTGACTGGGAGATGCTAACCACCACACCCCCTACGGCTCTGTCGAGCCGCCTGGGCAGAGTTTGTCTGGGAGAAACGTAGCACTGGACAGAACAAAAAGACCTGCACAAAATACACTTTGATGCTGGTCAGGGAGATGCAGGAAGCGTGCAATGAAAAATTCCTCCTCCGAAAATCACTCAGCTACAAAACCTCCTGGTGGGGAAAGCAGATGACAAACTCTTGGATATCGCAGATTGCCTCTAGTTTTTATGCACACACGTTAATATTTTTGATTCTAATATTTCACATGAAAGCTCATTCTTCTT